GGCTCAAAAACCCTTCAGATGAAAGCAAAAATCTATAAATTCTGAAGTTTTCATAAAAAAATAAGTTACGTTCTGCATCTGTTCTTACCGATGTTCTTCCTTGTCTCATTTGCATTTTTATCTCTACAGTTACTGTTTATGATGAGGGCGGATCCTATTGAAATTGCTGCAGGAAATAATAAAATAAAAAGATTAAACAAAAATTTTGGATGTGCCAACTGCACCACAAATCAATAATAATTCCTGAGTTAGTTAATAGGCCTCTGGTGCGTTATCAACAGCTAATTTGTCTTCGCACCGCCATTTTCCCCTCTTTTTGTTCACCAGCTATTTTCCTGTTTGCAAGAGAGCCTTCTTTGTTTCACATCCTGATTATTTACATTTTTTAAAGAAAATTTGATGCCCAATGTCTACATTCTAAGTAAAAACAATCCTAAATTAATACTTTTATTTTGTTAAAAAAAACACCAATTTGTTAGTTCTACTCACCTGCCCTTAAGAGCAGCTCATGAGAAAATTTCAACATCATTTTTCTTGGTTTCAAGCTGAATTCCTGATTACAGCTGCTATAGAGAAATTGCAGAAAATCTAGGTTTTAAATGTAAACAACATCAGAACACTCACCCCTCCCCTCTGATATTTTCCCTGAGACGCTGAACACCAGCCGCCATTTTCTGGCTCCAAACGACTTTTGTTGTCCGTGACTTCAAATGGTGTAAAAATAATCAATGATGAACAAGAGTCTGCTTCTAGACCTGCAGAAAGAGAAAAAAAAGAAAAGGAAAGGGACACACAACAATAAAACAGGAGCAAACTATCACTGCGTCAACCTGATGAGGAAATATATAATCAACATTGTTTTACTGAGCAATCACGATAATAAATCACAGTGCATTTAGTGCCAACCACAGCCTTAAGACATGTGTTGAATGTGTCCGAGTCCAGACTTATGAGAGCACCATGTGAGCACCTGTGCGTACACGCGCTTGTATATGTAAGGTTTCCCTATAGGAGCGTCCAATAGAGAGTGTGAGGGGCCACAGATCTGGCCCCCAAAGATGCGTAAGAGATGGAGGGAGCTCCAAGTCTCAGAGATCCAGAAGCTGCCCCAGAGCACAGGGACCCTAGGGAGACTGCGACCAGAAAAGCCCCTGCCCCCCTCGAGAGGCGCAGAGTATCGCCCCGGGGGGCCACAACCAGCAGCCGGCAGAGTCTCGGGGGATATCAGCGGCAAGCCCACAGGCCCACCCGCCCGCAGCCTCCCACCCCCAAGCCGGCCGAGCCCGGAAGCCAGCGACCCAGGACCCAGAGGCGACCAGTCCTTCTGGGGACCCAACAGAGCCCAGGGGCTTAGATCCCACCAGGCAGCCACCGGGACTCCCCTGCACATTTTACCATCCAAAAACATTAATACGCTATATTAAATAGACGCTGGTTGAGCACTAGAACGAAGCAGAAAACAACCGCTTGTGTTGAAGCCTGTTTCCCATTTGAACCATCTATAAGCTCATCTTATCTTGCTCATCTTGGTGGTCTTCTGTGTCTCTACACCCCCAGCAGGTCCCTGAGGTCCAGTGATCAAAGCCTACTGGTTGTGCAACGCACCAGGCTTAAGACCAAAGGTGACAGATCACTTGCTGCTGTGGCCCCCAGACCCTGGAACTCTCTCCCCCTGAGCCTGAGATCAGTGGACTCAGTGGACTCCTTTAAAAAGCAGCTGAAAACTTACCTGTTCAAGCTGGTTTTGGTGTGACTTTCATCACGCTTTCCTTGTTCTGCTCTGCCTACCTATTCCACCTTCCCCAGGATCCACTGATTTTCCTATTTCCTTTTCACTCTCTCTTTCTTTAAAATTTTTAATCACAATTGTCCATTTTTTACTCATTTTAAATATATTTTTAATCATTATCAATTATTTTTATATTTTACATTTTTTATTTTTGTGAAGCGCCTCATGATTTTTATCTTGAGAGGCGCTATAGAAAAGATATTTTCTTCTTCTTCTTCTTCTTCTTCTTCTTCTTCTTCTTCTTCTTCTTCTTCTTCTTCTTCGTCTGTTGGCTCTGCTGATGCTGATACTCATGTGTGATTGGCTGTTCCTGCTACCTGTGTACTTTACAATTCTGCATTCCTGACATTGCGTAAAAGAGCCTCTAGGCTGTATTTTATGCATATTTTATTGTAACGATCCCCCTCCCCCGGTCCTTATGCTAGTTGTGTCCCCCCTCACTTTTAAAGTCAAAACTACGTCCATGGCTACATGCTTGCTTAGAATGAGGATTGCTGTGAAGTCTTTGACACAACAAGTCAGTGATTCAATGCAATCTGCAGGGTTTCCTTTGGAAGCTTTTAAAGAATCAGCATAATGAACTGAACTCAATACACTAGTTGGTTCAATTGGAATATTTACGTTTGGTCTGGTCTGTAATAAAGCAAAGGAGGGGAATAAAAACTGAAACTGAATATTATGAGTTGTTCTGGTTGCAGTTTTTTTACTCTGTGCTGCAACATTTCAAATATAGAAAAATAGTCAATATTGGATATAAGTAACAATTTTTTTTGTATACGCAGCAGCGATTAGTTTTAACAGGTTCAGCTTAATGCTGAGTAAATGACTGGCGACGCATTATTCATGGCAGCAGCAGCACAGCCTAAAAGCTCTGAAAACAACGCTGATCCTTTTGATCATGAAATGTTTTTTTTCTGCTGCTCCTAGTGAAGCAGTGAGGCTGTTTTAACTGAGAAAGAGAAAAAAAAAGCTTGTTAAATTATCTTCATGGAGCATTTTTCTGTCAAACCTTTCTAAAATCCATTGAGTACCGAATTGCTAAATTGGGACTGCGACCATTGCGTCATTGACAACGATGCATGCCAGGATGCCAGTTGCTGTTTGTGCTACTTAAAAAAAAACTTTATTGACAACATTCAAACAAACATTTGACAAAATTTACATTAATTGCTATCTACATTAAATCTTAGTGTAAAACATACAGAGCATGGGTATTTATCATCACTGGTCTTAAAATGAACTTCTTTTGTTTGAAAATACACATTTTCAGAAAAAGCACTTGAGCCATTGTTCCACCTTCTCAAAATTCCAACTCAGCAATGGATTGTGGGCAATACCTTTCGCCCCAAGTCTGCATCGATGCGGACATGGGCAAAGTGTGTTTCAAGGCTGCAAAAGGGACATGGCCAACTTCCGCGCTTGAGGATCGGGACAGCCTACGCACTCACAACTGTGAACTGAAAAGTGCAATTGAAAGGAGCAAGGGTGGATGTGCGAGTTTGGGATTGGGCCCAGAGCTGTGCTTCAAATGGGTGTATTTAGAGTCTTTTTTCCTGATATTTAGACATCTTGTCTGGGATTGGATAAAAGCAACGTGACTCTACCACTTAATCTAGTTGCTCAGGGACATGAATGTTTTATCTTCACAAAAAACAAGCCTGGAGGAGCTTCAGCAGTGTGTTGGAGTCGCTAATGCTAGCAGTTAGCTTCTGTTGAAAGAGACATTGTCTTCTGATTCTGGATGCTAAAACAACAGCTTTCCCCATCACGAGTCAATATGGGTAAGTCCAGTTCACAGAGTGATGTAGATCTGTCAAGCTTTTTAAATCCTAGATTTTCACCGTCAATTTTCTATCAGAAGCTAATGAAGGAGATACTTGTTGGAGACAATTTTCATGTTTAGTCTGCATTAAAAACTCAAAGTAACCAATATAATCAGAAATAATTATTTTAAAAAGTATTTTCAATAAACCACACCTTTGCACCTATGGTAAATGTATGATTGATACTTTATTGAATATTGTTTTTTTAAGTACTCAAACAAGAATTCGTTCTCAGGGCACTAAATTATATTAGCTCTGAAAATTGTTTTTATTTTTATAAAAATTAAAGATTCCTCAGAGAGACACCGCTGATGGTTAGCATTTCCATTTACCCAGAAATAAACGGTTGTTTGTGTGTTTGCAAGGAAGTTTTCAAAGAATTTCGCTGTAGGAGTTTTGAAGGGACACTTCAAAATGATGAATGATTTAATTTCACATTTTGTTCTGCCCTTTGAACATTTTTATTCTGTGAAGAATCCAGCAGGAGCTGTGAGTATTTATTCTACCCCAAAGACAAATGACAGCACACAAATTGCATGGGGGAAAAAAAAAAAAATCAAACCTTCCAACTAATTCTTGTGATTTGTTTCATACGGCACTTAGTCATGGTCCTATTTCAGTTTGCCCAAGGTAGTAGCCAGCCACACAGAGCGATGCACCAATGTGTGGCTCAGAACGAGTAATGTGAGTGTCCTAATTTCCAGCTGAAAGAAAATCTGGTTTGCTTTGCCATATACACCCAGAAAACACCCATTAATCTTTAGGGCAAGGGAATGTGTTTTCATGTGAATTTCTACATAAATATGAGAAGATTTGCTGTTCTGTGACTCAGTATAGTTTCTGTTATCAGCACCGTGTTCTAAAGCAGAAGCATTTGATGAGTCATCACACTTGCAGAGATGCAATACTGCAAAGCATGCGTACACACTTATCTGTAGTAGTTACAACAGGAGAAAAAAGGCTGGACTAGGTGATTTTTTTTAACAATGCAGTGTGACTTGGCACATGTTGGGCAGCTGTTCTCCCCTGTGACCACTGGGATTGCTGTGCTTACCGTCAGCCCTCTGCTACATATCATCTTCGATTTGTGTGCAGATTTATTTATTTATTTATTTATTTTGCCTGTAGGCTCATATTCTGTAAAACACCAGGAAGAAGAAACAGAAAAGTGCTTGTTATGTTTTACATTACAAGAAAGAATAATATCTGCCTTGAAGCTTTTTGAACAAAGCCTGAAAATGTATGGCGTGGATGTGCAGGTGTTGAAAGCACGGGCTGTTTACCAACAGTCGTGATATAATGCTCGAGGGCTAAAGCTGCCAGAGGAGTTCATTTCCTTCTGTTTCTGCTCATTCCACATCCTCATAATATCTTGTCTCCTCCATCAGATATCCGAGGTCTGCAAACCTTTATGGACCAGGCGTCACGGCTTGGTCTGGATGTGTCCTTGCAAAAGGTGGACCGCAACGTCAGTCGAGTATTTACTGACCTTTTCAACACGATGCGTACTGAGGAGCTCAACCGATACCGGGATACTTTGCGGCGGGCCGTGCTACTCATGAGCCCTCGCGGAGCACAGGTCTTCATCCACCAGGTAGGTTTTAGCAGCTCTGCAGCTTTTCTTTTTCACGACAGAATCAGGAGCACAAGCAGGGAGTCAAAGTGCAAGCAGAAAAACAAGCATTTGTGGAGTAAAGATGATGATCCATGAACAGTCACATTTTCTAGCACCCCTGATGTGACCAATAATACATTGACTCAACTGTAGTACATTAAAACTGGGGTAAAATGGAGTAGAAAAGACATATTGTAGGTTTTACTGGACATTTTCTTCTAGTATTGATCCAATAGCTTGTCTGCTCCTGCTTTGACCTCAGACAAATCCCAAAGCATGTGGCCAAGGTGAGACTCAGATGTGTTTCATCTTTGATTCGGTTGACCTTGAAACAAAAGCCTGTCTGGAATCTTGAAAAAGCCTATTTATTTCCACAATAAATCATTCATACATCTCTAAGCACATCACTAAGAAAGAGTTTTTCTTTTACTGTATCAATAAAAGTACAGAGCTTCAACCCAAGAAAAGTTTGGAGACAGAAAAGGATTCCTAGCTCATGTTGTCTGTAAAGAGATTTTCCCATCAAAGTGATATCTTACAGTTTTGGTACGTTTTCTAAGTAAAAGCACATTAAAAGTATTTCTGAGGGGAATAAAGTATCAATGAACATCTGAATTAAAACAGAAAATGTATGTCTTTGCAGAAGCTTTTGGAGATAATGTTGCTGCTTTTGTTGCTATTTGGAGTCAGGGAGGAATGCTTCTATGGTGGGGAGAATTTGAAGGGAGTGAAAAAATATGTCAGTGTGAAAGGGATCTGAGTTCCTTGTTCCTGCTTCACATCTGACAGTTAATCTTCCTCGTGGAAGCAGTGAAACGTTGAGATGTTCATGCTCAAATGGTTCTAACAGATTTGTAGAGAAGAAAACACTTCAATTTCACCACTTATTTAACATTAAAACATACAATCGCATAGGCTCTAACCAGGATTAGGACCAGGATCATATTTTTTCCACGATAATATTGATGCAAATTTTAATATTTGACTAAAGGGAAACATCACATCAAGTGCAATTAGTTATTTGGTGGCACAGCATTTTTAAAAAGTTGTGGCAATACATTCACCCTGTCATCATGCTACAGGTCGACCGATCTGGGTTTTTCTATTGCTATACCGACATGTTGTCATGGCCAGCTGATGGCCGATATCTAGATATTTCCAAAATGTCACTATCAATAACAAAATAAATCAGTTTTTTTAACACTGAAATGAACCAACTGTTAAATCTTAAGTTTGTGCACTGCTCAGTGTTAAAATCAGACATTGAACTAAAGCTAATCAAACAAATCAATCAACTGACCAATTATTCAAGATGAAAAATTGGTAAATAAAGTAAATTTTAGTTCAAAGTCATTTATTTATTAATCAGATGTTATTCAGTACTGTTATTGTATATTTAAAGTAACACCGAGAAGTTTTCTTCTCCTCCGCCCTACTGGTTGAAAGTGGTATTGCAACTATCATAAAAAAACTGCTGCGACCTGCTGTAGCTAGCGCTAACAACAAGCTAACTTACTAAATAAGCCACACATGAAAAAAATCCGCTCTTTTGGACAAACAATACTATTACTTATAAGTCCAGTAGCAAGACAACCATGCAGGTTTGTGATTTCATAGCCTTTTTCAGCTTCCTCAAACTTTTGTAGGCCAAGTCGATGTTTACTTCGGCTTTAGCTTTTTGCTCTAACGTTTACTTCCAGGCTCCACCATGATGCAGACAGAAAAGTAACCTTATTTCTCTTCTTGTACTTTTTATTGACAATCAGCAAGCCTAACAAGCTAACTGCGCAGAAAATAGCTAACAGCCGTCATGCAGGTATAAGAGCGCCCCCTAGAGCATCTACCCGCTCCACAAAACTGCTAAGTGCAGTACTTATCTGGCCAGCAGAGGGCATGTGGTCAACTATGAAACTGATCAAGTTTCTAACCCAGCAGTCAGTGAGATCAGTGATAAATCTCTATCTTAAAGTTTAAAAAACAGTTTTATGTTATTTTAAAATAAATTCTGCAGAAGCATTTCTTACCAAGAGCTGAATATACCTTAATAATTCAGAGGTGGTTTAGGTAGGTCCACTTTTGTTGACGTTACATCTGTTAGTGAGTTGTCTCTAAAGACCAAAATTAAATAATTGTTTAAGAGAAAACTATTGATGCTAACACCCTACAACAGGGGTCTCCAACAGGTCACTCATGAGCTACCAGTAGCTTGCGACGCACTTGAAAGTCACTCACCTGGAAGCAGCCAGCGAGCCATACTGCCTGACTTGACTAAATCTGATGGTGAGCCATCCCCATTTTCTGTATTATCGAAGCTAAACTTAGCATTTTGTTCTTGTAAAATAAAAATCTTAGTGTAGCAAACACGTTTTACTGGAAATACGCAGATTAATTGATCTGGTTGCAGCACGGATCCCCGAAGACGCACTTCTAAAGAAGACAGGGTGACGTCGGTTATACAGACCTGGTTGAAACAAATCCTAAGTGAAATGTTTTAGGCGACAGTAAAGTCCCATCTGTGTTAATAGTTTGTTAATGCAAATTCAATGCCATTTGTTTATTAACACAATGAACATGAGGCGACAGTGGCACTGGAGTTAAGAGCTCGCCCCGTAATTGGAAGGTTGCAGGTTCGAGCCCCGCTCAGTCTGTCGCTGTTGTTGTGTCCTTGAGCAAGACACTTAACCCACCTTGCCTGCTGGTGATGGTCGGAGGGATCGGTGGCACGAGTGCTTGGCAGTCTCGCCTCTGTCAGTGCACCTCAGGGCAGCTGTGGCTACATCGTAGCTCATCCCCACCAGCGTGTGAATGTGTGTGTGAATGGGTGAATGGCTGATTGTGTTGTAAAGCGCTTTGGGGGGTTCCAGGACTCTAGAAGGCGCTATATCAAATGCAGGCCATGTACCATTTACCATTTACATGGTTTCCAAACTCTGGGCATCTCCTGTGATTTAGTTACAACACAGTTCCCTCCACTGTTTCAGCTGGTTGTCCCATTTAGTAGCAAAACACAATTGTGAATGCTCTCTCTGCTCTGCGTTGGTACAGCCATGGGACCAGCACAGCTGATCCAGATCCAGACAAACAGGATAAACTTCCAATATTGTCAATAATAAACACAGCAAAACATCATTTTACCTGCAATCTTTTAGCAAAACTTAACTTTCATTAGCAAAACAACTATAAAAATGATTACACGAATCAGGAAAGCAGGAAGAAATGTTGTTTCTTTTGAAGTTCAAACTATTTAGAATTTTGTGTTTTCATCACATTTAACTTGTATTTTATTAAATATATATAGTTTTTGGAAGTATTTGTTCATTTATGTGTGTTCATAAAGTTGATCCATTCTACAACAAATAGCGGATACAAGCGTCCGAAATGAGTTTTCTCCACAGGGTAGCTAGTACCTCTAGTTAGGATGCCTCCTGAATACCTTCCTGGTGAGTTTTTCCGGACACATCCAACCGGGATGAGACCTAAAGGAAAATAAAGGACGCCTTGGAGGGACTGTGTTTCTCAGCTGGCCAGGGAACACGTTAGGATTCTCCCAGAGGAGCTGGCCCAAGTGGCTGTAGGGCGGGAAGTCTGGGCCTCTCAGCTTTGACTGCTGCCCCGGCGACCCAACCCTAGATAAGAGGCCGAAAATGGATGAATGGATGTCATTATTTTTCTTCTACTCTTTTTATAATATTGATGTTTTGAAATACAGAGAAATCAACTTATGACACATGCAGAGCATTTTCAAACATATTCATACTTGGAAAGTATCAATGTGAATAAATGGCAGTAGCTCTTCTGTACTTTCATGGTGTAAAAAAATGTTGGAGACCCCTGCCCTACACCTTCAGATAATACCCAAAAAACTGAACTTTTGAAATAATTCACCAAGAAATTCCAAAAATTATATTCATCATTAGTTGTTGTTGCACTATGACAGGGGTGGGGAACCCTGGTCCATCAAGGGCCGCTATCCACCAGCATATTTTAGTTTCAACCCAGCTTCTACGCACCTGATTTCAATTAACAGGTGATTAACAGGTGTCTGAAGAGCTTGATGAGCTGCTGAACAGGTGAATCAACCACTGAATCAGAAGTGTTGGAGCAAAGACATGCAGGATACTGGCCCTCCAGGACCAGGGTTTCCCACGCCTGCACTATGAGCTCAAATATTAAAATTCTGGAGCTTTAGAGTGAATCTATCTAAGACTCCTCCTGTTACTCATCAATAATGTTGTGCATTTCTCTCTTGAAGCTAAATGAAAATTTGCACACACACTGGAAACACTATTTACACTCTGTGAACTTGAATTCCTTTGTTTTTCACCAATTTTCTGTATTGATTCAGGTAATTGTTCAGTGTGTTATGATTAGAAAAACACTTAGACAACAGTAGGTCAAAAACACCACTTGCATTCCAATTAGCTTCTTGTTAATTCACCATCATAAATCTAAAAGTTAAGTAGTCGCTGACAAATAAATTAGCGGACAGGTTGAGAATACATCAAGGCTTTTAAGTCTCATTAATGACACACTGCTTTGATCTTTTCCTTGGTGCCAGTGAATTCTTTTTTATTGCTCATAGAGTCGCCGTTTGCTGCACCATATCTTCTCTTTTCATTCGTTTGCATTTAATCCAGACAATTATGTTCCCAAACATTCCTTATACAATTAACATGAGGCATCTTGGGGACTTTAGGGAAATTGTCACGTTGTGGGATGGAGGAGTAGGACCCAATACGCAGATACCCAGAATGACACAAGGCATGAGAGGATGTAAAATTAAACATTCTTTGTTAAGAATGACAAGTCCAAAAGAAAACCTAGTAGGGCACAAATCCTAAAAGAAAACCTAGTAGGGCACGAAAGCCAAAAAATCCTAGTAGGCCACAATGTCAGAAACCTAGAGACTTAATGGGGGGGGGGGGGGGGGGGGCATAACAACGCTGACAACGACAGTGAACCAACAAAATACTAAGACA